GCTCACAAAATCAAATGAAGCAATTCTGATGTATGCTAATATCCAAAGATTGACTGTTGACTGCCAAGTTCAGTGTTATGGGTGTAAATTGAATTATACAGGAGTAACAACTATCCACATGAATAAATCAAGTTGCAACTTTTCCAATATATAATGATATGAAATGTCTATTTTAACTTGTTTGTAAGTATGGAGCGAAAGTAAAATACTATCAGCACACTGTTTTAACATGAAAAAGGCATGAAAATTTGCCTGAATCGACGTGAAGACGGCGTGATTCACAGCTCACGGAAAGTATTATTAATTACTTTTCTCCCAAAAATAACTTAATTTACACGGTTTAATTGAAAGTTATGTTACTCACCTTGTGAAGACATGGCCAGCTGTAAGGGAGAAAAATAGATTTCTCAGTTTTTTACGGTGTAACAGTTAGCGAAAGGGGAATAAAAAGAAGAAAAAGAACTGAATATAAAGTACCAATACTTATTACACATCAGCAAATACACCCAAACAACATTCTTACCAAAATAAATGTCCACAGAAACTGATAACTGCATCTTTCGCGGTGTCGAGACAAATGTTACATTCAAAATTTGCATTAGCACTTGATTGTTCGCTATTAGAGGCCCCAGCAGCAGAGGTTCTATCGTTTACATCCTCATTCGAAGTCGCCATCTTGTTTTCTGTTGCAATGTTTTCACGGGTCTCACGCTGATACGTCACGGTACACTGGGGAATAGCGCGGCGGGTTTTTTCCGCGGAGGCATATACTGCTTGGGGTAGACTCCTTGTCGACCGCCATCATGGTAAGTAGGAAGAAATATTTCTCCTCGATTTGTTCGCTTAACGGAAAGCGATTCTATAGTACTAGAACCATAAGAAGTAAAATAACATCATATACTTCTAATGATGTTGATATAAGTTACAATGTTTATGATTTATAGGAGATTTTTGTGATGGTGCGTCGTGAAAAGACAACAATCTTCCTTGATTGTAAGGAAGCCACAACTGTCTACGAGCTAAAGAAAATGGTCGAAGGCATCTTAAAGAAGGCTCCAGAAGATCAGAGGCTGTACAAAGATGATCAAGTCCTGGATGATACGAAAACTCTGGAGGATTGTGGTTTTACAACCCAAACCGCGAAAGCTCAAACTCCGGCATTGATTAGCTTGTCATTCAGAGGAGAAGGTGCGTTGGTTGATAATGTACAAAATTTAGTTGTCCTGAAACTTATAGCGATATTAATGATTGATGAGTGTTAACTGTATACTAGCGTTTTAATTTGTTGCCGTTGTTCTTGTTATTCCGGGATCTGTTCGTTGACAGATTTGCATAGACATCGTGCTTATCATGTTTGTTGAAGTGATTAGTATATAGCTTTCGAGTGATCATCGTTCTTAACTTATTGTCAACTTTTAACTTCGATACATACAATGAGTCCGTTATTGACGGTCTCCTTTTCAAAATTTCGTTAATTAATTTTTAGGAGGGAAATAAAGCTTTTTGTTTTATTTTTTTGTGGACAAGGAAAATTACCAAAATTACGAAAGGAAGTACAACTACTCACTATTATCAACAATCCAGTATCTTTCTCTTTGACGATTCTGATGATCAGAGAAGATCTCAGAGATAACTTTAGGGACAAGGACAATTTCTACAATATTTGTTGTCATTTGACCATAGATCATTCATCTTTGTCCAACAAATATAACTGGAATCTTGCTTCTAAGCAAAATGATAGGTTGACTTTGAATTACAATATGATCTAGTGATTTTTTAACTCTTTGATTTATCCTGTAATCGAGTTATTTTTTACCTTTCCAAAGCGTTTTCTGGTAAAAATTCAAAAAATAATTCTCTAGGCGATAAAATGTAGAATTCTTATTGCCTGGCTGCTAAGTATTGTGTTAAAATTACAAGGAAAGTTGAGATGTTGATCAGTTATGAGACTCAAAGGGTTAACAGAGATTGGATTTTAGTATATGTAACTTATGTCTACATTGCTACAGTTTTTCTGAAGGTTATGAGCACTTGAAAGAGCAAATGCTGAAGATTGTAAATTACACTTAAAACGAATCACATTTTGATCTTTGGATGATGAAGAGCTGCTTAATCCATGGGGTAAACTGTGATTTAAGAAATTATAGAAAACAAATAATGAAAAAATGGGATTGAACCTGGCCTATCCCTCCCTTCCAAAAGGAATCAAACCCTAGACCTTGAGATTTCATGTTCTGATGTTCAACCACTGAGCTACAGTGAACTCTGTGTTGAGTTTTGCCATTACTAGTTCCATATGTGACTTGGGTTGTGCATGCTGTTGGGATCAGCAATGTCTGAAGTGCATGTGAGTAAATAAGATGAAATAAATGAAACATCGAATATTATGAGGCTGTGGATGTTGATTAAGCTAAATACCTTGTTATCCCTGTGTTTCAGATGGAGAGTTTGAACCAGTTGTGATCGCTCCTCATTCCACCCCACCTGAATTGCCAGATGTGATGAAACCCCAGGAGACTGTTTCTAACAGTGATGGCTCATAAATGTTATGTCCTAAAGTATGATTCTTTTTTTCGTAGATCAACTCATACTCAATCTCACAAACTAGTTGCAACTTTAGTGCCATTGTTGACAAACTTAGATTACAACAAACTGGCCAAAGCCTTGTGTGATGAAAGAATCATTACTATTATATATTTAACTTTCTGGTTTACAAATTCCCATCCATAGATTTGAAGTAATGTCGATTAAATGACTGGTAAAGAAATGTTCTTGGATATTTAGGAAAAAAACCCTGGTTTAGTCGGTCATGGCAGTACCAGCTAACAACAGATCTTCAGTTTTATTAAAAAAAAAAGAATGTAATAACTCTACAGTCCAAATATTTTGGTAATGCAAAGACAACCTGGTGCAATTTTGACCATAACATGGTAAAGAGCTCGCTTTTAATGTTTTGATGAATGTGTAATTTATTTGCTATTTCCCTGTTAAACTGAAAGCAAGGACTACTTTCTTACTGATCTAAACTAAAATGTCTGAAAACATAATTAATCTGTAGTTCATTGTTGATTTGAAATTTAAAGTAGTGGTTTTGTGTCTAGTAAAATTTGTTCTAGCTGTGTAATAAGTGTTTGTTTGGTGATTTCATCATTTTCTTGTTTAACCCTTTAACTCCCATAAGTGATTGACATGTAACTTCTCCCTGTAACATCCACACAAGATCCAACCAACATGTGATGAGAATACTCAAACTTATCAGGTAGAAGTTAGTAGTCTTGATCTAACACCAAATTCTTGTGACTTATTTACAAGGAAATGTGTAGCAGCTGGAGGGGAGAATTGACAATCAGATCTTGGGAGTTAAAGGGTGAAGGATTTATAAATTATCTATGTATGAAACTGGCAGGCATATTTTTCTAGTATCTTTCCAATATCTTCCCTATCTAAGAGTGTATTTTCAAGTCAGGATTAAGTTTGATATTTTATTTTAATTTTGAGTTGTACTGGTTTCATTTGTTTGTTTTTTTGTTTGTAAATAAACATATTTCTTTTGAAGGAATGTCTTTCTATGTGGCAATCTATCATTCATGTTTGCTCCCATACCATGAAAGTCACTGGCACAGACAGGGTTTAAATGGGTCATAGAAAACCTGGAAAGTCATTGAATTCAAGATAATCATTCGTAAGAGTGGAATGCCACAAAAAAAAAAAAAAAGAGACTGAAAGGGATATTTCTGAGAACATAGCTAGGAATATCTTGACTAAAGGATTATTTCTCTCTTTTGAAACCACCATTTAATCCTCCAACCCCCAAGAGTGATAACCATCTGATTTCTCCCAACAAATATCACCCCTGAATCAAACATTAAGTTACAATAACAAAGGAAATAATCTCAAACCTACACTTAAAAGAAGCTTTGATTGTTACACAAATTCTCCTTGTCAGTACCAAGGAAATGTAAAGAGGAGTGTAAGGAGAAAATAGATGCTGCTGATAGGGTGTAAAGGCTTAGTTGTTGGCCATGCAAAAATAAAGTCCTGAAAAAGGTAACTGAAAGTTGTACAACATTTAAAGTTTACAAGAGTACCAGCTCTGAGAGGATGGCCTTCACTCACTCCATATCCACTCCTGCAAGTGGTCAGCTCTCACAGTAAAGTAGGTGTAGTGTGTTTGCAAGCTTTAATCTTTAGAGATTTTTCAACTTGTCCTCTATTTGCACAAACATTTCCCCAGGAAAACATCCCTAAAGTATGAGAAGGGACTGGACAAAATAGAACCATAGTGAGGCATGAGTGGTCTAGTGGTCAGTGTGCTGGACTCTGGGTTGGATGGCCCGGGTCCAAGTCCTGGCTGGGGCATGACATTGTGTCCTTAAGCAAGATGCTTCACTCACATTGCTTCGTCTTCTTGGATAGGACGTAAAACCGTAGGCCCCTTCTCCTGCAGGGTTGGGGTAGGAGACGTTAATTTCCCACGCATGAGATTACTGTGTGGTGGATGTCCTTCCCTGGGGTGGGATGGGTGGTGGGTGTGGGTGTATTAACCAAGTAGGGGACTTATGTCCTATTGTTATGCACCTGTACTTGTACTTGTACAAATCCATTAAATAAATAAATAAATAAAAATAAAATGAACCAGAGCAAGTGACACCAGAGATTTGTGTTAAATAAAAGATTTTATAGATGTAAGTGATATAGTTCACAGTAAATTACAACATGAATAATTCTAAAACTCTTCTCATAAGGAAACTTAACAGGCCTGGCTACAGTAATGATGATCAGCACAAAATTAATGGGATTAATTAACAGTTTAGGCATGATTGTTGATTCACACAATTCTCATGTAATATTTAAATCATTGCCATGCTCAGGAAGCTAAGAAAATGGCCCTTGGATTAATAAACAAGAGAAAATTAGCCCAAAATTAACTGGTTTTATCATTTATCATATCCACCCTCCTTCCCCAGGTGTGTTTTCCTTAAAAAACCCTAGACAAAAATCCCTATACAAGGACCATACGCAATAGCATAAGAAAGGCCAAAAAAGAGGTGTACAGCCCCATGAGATGCTGACGGAAAGAAGAAAGAGAAAGAGCAGCAGTTAATATGCTTATTGACTGAGTAATGTTTGGGGAGACAGGATTTATTTCAATCTTGGTCATGAAGTACACCCCCCCTGCACTTGTTTTTATATCATGATCTTCAACCAATTGTTTAAAATTTTAATTTCCAACCCTCTCACTCAGTCTATGAGCACACGTTATCAAAAGACTTGAACAAATTGCGCTTGTGTGACCAACATGCCCATAACACAAGTTTATTCATGTTATTCACATCAACACATTTAACTTGCTTGGACTTTCTTCATCACAAACACTTTTGGATCACATTTAAAACTTGTACTGGGAAATGATTATTACAGAAGTTGCACTTCATTTTTCATGAAGTAAACAAAGAAGAAACTGAAGTTAAACTTTAGAGTAGTAAATAATATATTCACAGAAAGGCACCATAGTTTCACCTCCAAAGGCTGTTTCCCACCAAATAAAGGAACCATTTCCTAGAAAACCTAAATTAACAAGCTTTGAACTTGGTTTAAATATTGATCCGAAAGTTAACAGCTACATGCTGAATTCCCCACTTGACAGTTGTGGTTAAATTATTAGGTAATACCTACTCAAGTTTTCCAAAATCCCAATAACTAAGTTAAACTATTGAGGATCATACCCTAACAGTAAATTTAAGATAACTTAAGAGAACAGTGATTTTATCCCATGGTAAACTACTTAAGCTATGTTTCTATGCAGTTGAATGACACCAGTATTCTCAAAGGTCTGCTTTGATTCCTTTCTGATCTGTTCAACAGGCTCTGAGAGTTACACCCTTGCACTCCCAAGAAAAAAAAACTGATTTGAATCTGTCCCTACATTGTAAGGACATTTTCAGGCAGAACAGTGACAAGAATTAAAGAAAAAATCAGCAACAAGGGGATGTTAGTTTATCTCACAAAGATTATAGGCAGGCAAGGTATGGCAAACAGTTTGGAGAATTGGTATATACATCTTGGGAGTGAAAAGGTTGGATTCTGTGCTCAGTTCTCCATGAGAAATACAAAGATAGCTGTCGTATAATTTAGTCCACATACAATTCTATGTTAACTCCAGAAGTATGAGCAAACAAAAATTGAGTAATTATTTCAATAAATTAATCCTCTAACATATGTGACTGATATACAAGACTGATATAAAATTACTGTTCCTGCCAATCATTATATATGGTGTAGTTCACAGTCGATCAGCTGTAGTAGAAACAAACAGCTTCAGAGAAAATAGTCAGGTTGAGGCTTTTTGGCAATGGTTGGCATACCTCTCACCTCCTGTGAGTAAAAAAAAAAAGGAAAATAGAAATAAAGTAATGTTTCTGCCCTAGAATGTCCATGTAGATATGCTTGAGTTTGATTTGACTAGACAGACAAAGAATTTCAATTAAATAGACACGTAAAATTTATTTAACTGTTACTCAAATGTCAAACTTTTCTACATTATCATTACACATGGCTGTTTGTTTTGTTGCTGATAATAACCATAATAAAAGGTCTGATGGATTTCTTTTCCTTTTGTAAAATACTGACCTGTTCACTTTCATAATTTATGTCTAGCTGAGATAACCTTAGTCATTGATCTTTTAATACTTACCTGAGGAGCTGCTTCAAATATTGTGAATTCTCTTTTTAAATGTTCATCCAGTTCTAATATTGCTGCAACATTCCCACACCTTCGAGAAAATGATAATTTTCAATTTTTCTCCTGAATATACAATTACAGTTTCGTTAAAAAAAAATTAGTGTCAGTAGCTGATAGGTAAGTTAATGAAACCTGTCGTGTTGGTGTGACAGCTGTCTGACCTTTTATTCCCAATCACAGTGATTGTTGTAAAATCTTCCTCTTTTAAAAGCACTTAAAACTGATGTAGTTCACTGGTAGTAAAACATAGTCAGACCTTGAGTATTTTTCCAATGTGCATCAGTTGTTTTAATTCAGCTGGCATAAAGAGAGTATCCCCCACACATGGTGACTAAAAGGCACTACCTATATCCTGTACCTGTAGCAATAGTTTGGCGCTGACCAAACAGTGAGGACTGTCTCATTAAAATGCCACTTGTATCCTTCCATCACCAGCTGATGAGCTCGACAGATCAAGTCAATGTCATTTGCTGCATTAAACTAAACAATGAGAAGTTGATTAGAAGCAAATAAAAAAAGAGTCCTAACTGACTGATTAATGGTACAAATCACATCAAATTACGCTGGAGTGCAGTAGATTGAAAGTACACAAATTAGCTCAGAAATGAAAGGAAAGTTGAAATATTTTATTTAATATCCTCATTATCCATGGTGATGCTTTCAAAATGCTACTGAAGGACAACCTGCAGAGATGTTTTATTTAATTTTTCCTATGGAAAAAGGCTACCCAGAAATGTAAATTGTCTCTAAAACTACTATATCTTATACTTTTAAAGCCAGCATAATCCCCACATGTTAACCGATGTGCTGTAAAAATACAAAGGGATGGAAATTCACCACAACATATGCGTCACTGTTTACAGTAACTGTGGCATCTAAGAAGTAACACAAAGGCAAACATAAATAGAACTACAAATACAAGGGCTACTGTACCTGAGTGACAACATCACTGCCAAACAAATATCCAGCACCTCTAGGACTTACTCCCCAACCTTGTGTATCTAATGAAGAAACATGCAAGAAAGCAACATTAGTCAAAAAGGTAAAAATAATAATTGAAGGGATGGCTGCGTGGAGTGAAACCCTGAGGGCCATGAGTTCATCAGGTTTTTTATTGTCTATTGTCTCCCTTGTTAAATTAAGACTACTTGCTCAATTACTTGCTTACTTTGGATAAACATCTACTTCTCCTTCTATTTCACAAAGGAACACAAGGGAATTTGTAGGAAGAATCTAGGAATCTATCTATAGTCACCCCAGGTGTTATTTCATGTACCCCTACTATTATAATGACACCAACTGGGCTTTATTTTAAGGATTCAAAGTTAATACTTCTTACTCAGTATGCTGTCTACCATCAAACAAAAAAATTCCAAAAA